AAAAATCCCCATTGTTAACTCCTTGCAGATAAGAGGAAGTGTGGAATGTACTGAAGGACTTATGGCCTTACTCCTTTTCTAAGGAGGTCGCCTCCCTCACAACCAAGGAGCAAACCTTGCCCCATAACATCACCCCCCTCACTTCTGAGGTGCCAACAAGGAAAGTCCATCCAAAGTTAATCTAATCTTCCCATGTAAATTAAGGAGAGACCCCTCTCCGCTTCCTATGTAAATTAAGGAGACACCTGTATCGCTTCTTATGCTAATTGAAGAAAGTTAGGAGGAGACTTGAGAACTATCTATCAAAAGATGCAATAACAATGGGAAAGTGTGCACCCATTGTTGGAGGACTCCCAAGACATTGATTGTTGCTGGATTGGTGATATGATGCGGAATCTTTTCTGTCTTTCCTCTCTTTCTCATTTCCTTTATCTTTTTGAGTTTTCCTTTTCTCTTTTTCTCTTTCTCTCTCTCTCTGTCTCTAACTAATTCTTCTGGCACATAAAGGTAACACCGTTACAAGTTTGATTCCAGCTCCTTCTGGGGCTTGTTTGGCAAGTTTCCGTGGTAAGCTTCACTGTGACAAGTGATCGCCCATTTTAGTACTGATAAGTGATTGCAAGTTTTAAAAGCAGCTGTGGGTCTTTAATATTGTTGGTAATTGTGGTATTGTCATGAGTAGTTGTCACATCATTGTAAGTTTTAGTGTTGTCAGTGGGTGATGGTATTTTTAAAGTTTTCTTTGCCAAGTCATTTATCTTTTGTAATTCCACTACATTTTAAATATTTTATGTCTTTTTAATAAAATTATTGTTTAATTGAACCTTTCAAAGCATTGTTTTGGGTGTTCCAGGTTAACCAGATACTCAAAAGAAACCTTGCACTGTGAAATGGGACAGCGGGGATCAAACAGAATGCTCTAGAGAGTTCAGGATTTACTGAGAACTATTTAAGAACTTTAGCAGACCGGGAAAATCTGTAAAGCTGACAAAGATGGTAGCAATCAAGGAAAGGCTTCCATATGAGGACATCTGCAGTCCTGAAGAACGGTAATTGTGGGGCCTAAAGCAGAAGCCTGAATAGTCAAGAAACTAACTTGAGTTGGTAAAAATTATTAACTGTTCCTTATAAGAAATAATGAAGTAAAACCTGAATCTAGTACAGAACAAACGAGGAGCAGAGTACTGTAGTGTCGTTAATCTGAGTAACTCATTGCCACAGGATGGACCAATGCAACCTATCTAAGAGGCAATTTTGTTCAAACCAGATCAATGGTTCTTTCTTTACCTTGCAATTGTAATTAATTGACAGAACATTTCAGTGGTAGTGCTAGGGTTAGTAGTCATGCCTATCTTGTCAGCAATTGTTTTTTTTTAGTGAGGCCTCTTTGGCTTTCCTTGCAAAGAAAGATGTGCTTACTTTTTCTAGAAAAGTAAGTAGTAAAGATTACAGCATTGCACAGTTTGAGACCCAGCTTAAAACGAATCATAGCTTCCCAAACACATATTCAACTGGGTACCTCTCTGTTTACTTCCCTCAGCACATGAGAACGGGCTTGATTGCACAAGAGACCCCTATAACATTTTCAAGAGAGGGAAATAACGTTCGCTCCTACAAACTGCTTCTTGTGGCTTATCCAGAGATACCGCACAACCTTGAGCTAATGCCTGAGGAACTCAAAGTCTACTATCGATACACAATGTCTCCATCTGCTGATTGCTAACAGAGATTTCCATGTCCTTTTGCATAAACCCATGGAAAGCACACTGCTGATGCTGTGACAGATGGATGCCTGCTTCCAAGCGGGAAGCAGACCCTTTTGTTAAATCTGGTCTCTAAGTACAGCATTGCCTAGCAACTATGGGAAATGGAGACAAGCCAAGGCATCAGAGAACATTTCACTTGGTGCAGCTCAGGGCTTGGGGGTTTTTGTTTGCTTGGTGGTTTGTTTGCTTTTTAAATGAAACTACCCCAGTTTAATCCTGTGTAAAACAATATTAAGTGATTTATGTCTTATCACCATAGAAGCAAATCATGTACTTACAGAAGGAGTGTCAGGACATTTCCCAGAGAAAAGCACTGTTTCGGGGATTATGAAGAAATTCAGACTCAGCAGTGAATGAAATGGAGAAGACATCTGTTTGTGGTTTCTGTTATGGCTTTGCCCTACAGCTCCCTGGTAAGGAGGCATTAGCATTACACATATGCCAGTGTTAAGCCCATGGCACTCTAAAGGTGCATCAGCATGGGAGCACTCTGTTCTTCCTCTCATCGCTTGCAGCAGCACTTAGTCTCTCTTTCCTTCTTCTCCTTTCCAAGAGATATTGCAGAATATGAGCTGAAGTTCAATACTGACTAATTCAGAGTTCACCTCCACAGAAGATTCTGGGTTAAATAGCATAACACTGGCAAGAGTCCATGTAGCAAATAGCTTTGTTAGCACTTTTGTACAGCAACACCAAACTCCTTTACACAGCCTTGGATGTGAAATCACGGCTATCTTGAACTGCTCTCTGAGTGACCCGTGGCTGCTCAGCTGGATTTTTTTTCCTACACTGAAAAGTCCAAGCTATATTTTGTTTAGCATTGACTCGCCAGAAAAAAATCTTTGTATGTGTACGTAAGAGAAAGAGACAGAGGAACTGCATATTGTTTTATGTGATTCCTAATGTGTATTTAAACTGTTGAGAAAATGAGGCCTTTCCCAAAAAAAAGTATTTGCTTTTTCTGTATGTGCCTAGGGAACAGGTATTTTAAATTGGATCAAGGTAAACTTTAGGCTGAGCTCAACTGCCTTAACCTACTCTAGTGCCAGCTGCAGCAGCACTGGTTAGCTGAGCCCTCAAACAGCTGAATGCTTCTGGAACTGCAGCTGGAGGCCAGGTGAGGTAGCACTGGGTGCATCGAGTGGCACCAGCCCGCCCTGGCAGGCAACTGCAGAGACCCCTGTCACCTCTGGGTCTAGTATAATGTAGGGAGTTCTGCCTCAATTTCTATTTGCATATAATATACTGACAGACATCTCATCAGTGCTCAATCAACATTTAAGCCATGGCATACAAGTTTGTACTCTCCTGCTGGGTTCAGTCTGACTTGCTCCGTTTCACATTGAGCAGCAAACTGTAAGTATTGCTTGTGGAAAACAAATCTCTGCTTTAGTATGAAGCAGTCAGATCAGTAGGCAAACACTGGGTTTCAGCATGTTCTTAACGATTCTAAATATGAAATATACAGGAAAACAAAAAAGTCTAGTGCTTTCTGACAGCACAAGCTCGAAATAAAGAGGCACTGATCATTGCTGCTCCTACACTGAAAGCACATCTGTGACTGCTGTGTGGTGCATAAACACCCAGGCTAATGCTAAACCTGAATCAACTGCGTTATTAATAACAGCACAACTGGGTCAGCAGCGTGTTGAGTGTAGACCAATTTATCATGCTTCCTGGGTAAGTTTGCAGCCTACCCCAAGTTTTCTGCAGTTGTAACTAGACCGCTGTTGAACAGGAGCTAGGTGATATCAAGCTTATGCAAATAATCTCTGCACTATAGTTATTGAAACAGCAAGGTGCTCTAGTTTTGTATCATGTTCGGATCAGTCAAGGGAGATGCAAAATAATATTTTTCAGGGGCCTAAGCTTCTTGATTTGGTCTCAAAAATTAGAAATTTTGTAAAACCTGCTCTGCTTGAGAGATGCCTACCATAGTGGATGAAAACCTTAAAAAATGTGCAGTTTCTCTTATATCTTTATCTAAAGGGAAAATAAGCCTCTTTTAGATTAGAACTTGATATAAAACAAGAGAGAGAGGTTTTTGGTGCATTACCAGGTCTCAGACCTGTGATGTTGGCAGGCTGCATAGCCAGCCCTGACAGCTGCCTCCTTCTGCATCCGTTCTGGGCCAGTTCTGATGGATTGATGGATTGCAATACTGAGTACTAACTTTTAGGCACCTAAAGCAGTTAATGGACTTGATACCAGGTTGGTAGCTAGTTATTTTGTATTTGTGCTGAAGTATTAGATTAGAGAAGTCTACACACTGCATGAGATGCTCACTCATCAAAGTCAGGCTCCTTTTTATGACTTAAATACCTTATTATGGCCCAAAGAAAGGATTTATGAACTGAAACACTTTCCTGAAGGTTAGTCCTAGGTACTTTTCTCTCAGCAGATGAATGATGAACTCCTTTTACCAGTGCTCTGGATTAAGTTCTTGCTGTGAAGCCTCTTTTCTAGTCTTTTTTCATCCTGAACAGATTGGTGGTCATGTTTTCTTCCTCTCTAAGAGCTCTTCAGCTAGTAGGCTGCAGCATATTCAATTCTGTACAGCAGGAACTAAAATAGTTTTGGAAAGCTTTTTTTTCTAGAAATATGTCATCTGAAGATTTGAGATATCCTCCTCTTCCCTCCACCCCCCAGCTATGCTGTAGACGAGGAGAGCAGATGATCTGCTTTTGGTTCTAAGCACAGAAAGGGGGATTTAGTCTTTCTATTCCTAATTGTTTAACTGTATTCCCAACATAAATCATGCTCTGCTCTTGATTTATAATATGAAACACACTCTTTTTTTTTTTTTTTTTTTTTTTAAAATACTCCAGAGTTTTTTATCTTTAAGGTCTTTCTTGTAGTTATACAGCAACAAGACCATGCACAGGATGTAATGATTCTGAATCAACATTTTCTTTGGGTGCTGTGCATTGAAACTTAACTTATTTTCCATTACTTGTCTTTCTGCAACAGGACAAAAATTCTTATAAAGCAGAACAATTGTAACAGTGTTCTGACAAGTCCAATTTATATGGTACATTGTCACAAAAGAATACCTAAAAAAAGGCAGAATGCCTATACAAACCTACTAATATGCTTTAGAAACTCTTTGCAGGAGCTAGAACAAAATACTATTAAAACTCCAAATACATATTCAATATGCATGTTTCTAGATAAAACTTTATAAATATGCAAATTTAAGATAAATACAGAATAAAATGCACTAAGAAACTGATATGTAGACAAAGGTTTATTTACACCATACAACATTTTAAATATTTTATACACAGCTGCAGCAGAGAAAGCTACTCTGAGCTTTCCAGAGAAAACTGCAATAATAAAGATGTGAAATATATTATTCTTATAAAAGTGAGATTATTACTTTATTGCATTTAAAGCAATGAAGAATGTAGCTCAACAGACATTCATTTAATGACAAAACCTTTGCTTTTATATTATAAAGTAAAAAGTGTAGTAATGGCCAAACAGACTGTTATAAACTTTAAAAACTGCATAAATATATACATTGTGCTTCATGGTGAAGTTTTTTGAAAACTAAACCAAATGAAGCTGTTACAACATGAATCGTTGCTTGAGGTTTATCTATAAAGATTACCTTACAAATCCATTCCACGGGTACTTACAACACACGATGGTAAGAATTGTACACCTGGTTCTCCACTAGCCGCACTAGTGGGAATATACTGTACGAAAAAAACCACTGACATTTGGCACGGGAAGAGCCTGACAGAAAGTAGTCAAACTGTTCAGACAGGAGCGTCAGGATTCCCCAAAGTCTCTTTATTGTCAGTGCAATGAATTATTTTTGTTTTGTTTTTCTTTTGTTCAGTTTGTTTTCATTTTTTGTTAAACTTCTGTTTGAAAGTCACCTTCTTGCACATCTAAAGGCAAGTTCAGACACTTCTCCCATTCTGCTGGCCTGAGTTCTAAAGCATCTTTTGCCTCTGTGTCTAATACGTTTATCGTTGTATAGTGTTGGTAGTCGCCTGTGGTTTTGAAACTGTCCCATGGAGCCTTGCTCGGTGCTGAGTTCTCCTGAAGACCAAAGAAAGAAGAATTAAAACCAAAGACAAAATAATGTCTTTTCCATTGGTAAGGCTAACATGATCTCATGAGACACAGCAGCCAGAGAGGGAAATGGCTTTGCAGGGAGCCAGGCTGGCGGGTGTTCAGCGCCGTTGCGACTCTCTGAACAATCAGCACTCTGGCAGACTCCTCACCTGAGCTGCCAGCTGAGCCCTTTCTTTCACAAGAACCAACGTACATGAGGAATGGCTGAGTGATCCAGTACCAATAGCCATCTTTTTAAGAGCGGTGGTTAAGTGTGAATAAAGAAGAGAAGGTAATTGAGAAGAGCTTGCTGCTTGAAATATGGAGTGGTTTGAAGCAGAGCTTGCCAGCTGCATTTTAAATTGGGGCAGGTGTGTGACAGAACCACAGAAACCTAGTCCTTGAAAACGCTGTGAGAGCCACCTTGCTTTACAGGCTGATGAGCTCATGTATATTAGGATTAACAAGATGAAAGCTGATAATTTTCTACTGAATGATTTTTTTTTTTTATGCTAAATTTCATAGGGTAAAAGACATTATGGCCTAAAACGAATTTAATTACTGATTTCTGGTGTAACACGTTGGGTGGAACTTAGTTCCCAAAACCTAACATTTTGGCACCATTTTAGATGCCTATGGATTTTCCGCCTGATCTCCAACTATCTTTCACGAGAGGTGCGGGCCTTATGGGAGTCCTGTGTCACCCCTGGCTGTACCGTGCTGCAGACTGACACCCGAGGCTGTCTGAAATAGCCTGAGATGCCTATATTTAGGTTCCTGGATCACTCTGACTGTCTTACAGATAGAGCATTCCTCTAGGCAGCTTTCATTAGCAAACTTTTCAAAAACATAGCACCGATGCGAAACAGAGTAAACACAACTCTTCTGCTGAGATTCCCTTTGAGATTTTTAATTAATTCAAGCTTTCCGTGGACAGCAAATCTCAAATAGGGAGGTGAATGCAAATTTTACATGTCAGCAAATCTCAGAAGGGGGAGTGAGCGAGAACTGGGTGTGAAATAACACATAGCACAGCTAAAGGTTCATCAAAGAATCAGGGCCAAATTTCTGCTGGATTAAGATGATGTAAATGATGGAAATCCATTGGCCTCACAGCTGCTTAATACCTCTTCTTCATGTCTGAGAACAGCTCTTCTGAAAAAGTTATAGAATACAATGATTCTAGCTCAGTTCCATTTAATATACAATTTTCACATTATAAAATTATATATAAAATTATTACTAATCATAATATTACCGCTAACAAATATGTCACACTAAATTAGCTGTTTTAATTAGGCAGAATCAACTATTTCCTTGGTATCATTATCAGACATAGTCACGGTGTTATGCATGTGTGCATGAGTGTGTGTGTATAAATTTGAATTATGATGATAGCAGAGTCAACTCAGGATGATTTAATTTTTGCTTTTCCCATGGTAAATATTTATAAACCTATTATGGAAAAGACACGGTATTACAGAGACCCTGTGTGCTTTCTGGAATGTCTTATGTATAGGTGAATCTATCTGGACTTGTTTGTAGTAACGAATTTAATATCTGCTTGCCTAGCTAGAGGAAAAGCCCTGTTGGGCAAATTACATTAGTGAGCTGCTTTCTCTCTGTAAAGTCCTTTAGACTTGGTAGGCACATACAGATTTGAAATGTGTCCCTACAGTTCAATTACTTGTCATCTGTAATGATGTCAGTGAGTTAGTTACAGTCTAGTTGTGAAACCTAATGAGTCTTGTCACAGGTCAGACTACTGAAAATAAATTTTGTTCTAATTTCTGAGGCTATGTAAAGGTAGCACAGAATGAGGTCTTCTCAGGAAATAGACTGAATTCAAAGGACTCTTGTTTAACCGTTTTTGTTATGGATCCATCATATTTTAAATAGTTAAGAAGGAAAACTTACCATACTGCCTGATTTCGGTACATCCCGAAATCTGTCCAGTGTCTGAAATTTCTGATTTAACTCTTGAAACAATTCCATGTGCCTCTTTCTTGTATGCATGACCTTCTGCAAAATGGAACATAATTGCTTATATTTATAATTGAATCTGGGCTTTTTTAAGAGAAGCATTATTTTCCCCAACATAATAAAGTAAATTGAATTTGGCAGGGCCTTCTTTTCCCTATAGACTCAACCAATGAAGTGAATTGCACCGAGCCCTCTCTCTGCTCTGTTTAATGTTCTTCCTGTGTACAAGAGACTGTTTTTACCCCACATTTATTGAGTCGCCGAAATTAAAGAGACACTGTTTTTCTGTTAGCCTAGAAGTATTTTGAAAGCGATCGCAGTTTCTCAGAAGGATATTTTTCTTGCACATTAAGAATATTTTCTAGGATTTCTCTTTTCAGCATGGATGCTAACATTTTAATTTCTATAGGAATGCAACAGCAATTTGTAATGGTCCCTGTGGGAATAATTTTTATGAGAAATCTTGGCCCAAAATCAAAAAGCCCTGAATCTTACATCTTTTTAATTAGACATCTTCTTGTCATTCAGATCATCATAAAATGCAGTTGAAATGCCATTCATATTAAGAAAAGTAGGCACAGTTTTCCAATTTTACTTGTTTTTTTTCTGTCATGGACTAGGCAATTGGAAAGCACCCTTCCTCCGGCCCATGCATGGGGCATTCTTCCATAAAAACTGATTATATGGCACTCCTGAGTGAGGTGGGGATGCCAAACAGCCCCCACAGTTGCAGGAGACCCTCAGCTGCCTTGGCAGCTACATGGAGAGTGAAGCCTGTTTTCAAGCCTAGATTGTCAAGCCTACCATCTGCGTTGTTTACAAACAAGCTTACGCTCAGGTATGGATTCAGACCGGCCTCTGGACCAAAGGCGAAGGCTGCTTACTGTCCAACAAATCTCACGGTTCTGTGGTCTGGGTGGGAGGAGGGACTGAGGACGCTTCACCTCAGTCCAACAGCAGATGGGCTCAGCTTGGCTTTTCTTAAGCTTTTGTAACTGCTTGAACATGAGTAACAGCCAGGGCAGCAGCCAGTAGTGTTGACAGAAAAGGTGCAGGACACCAGACCCTCCGCATGCCCACTAGCTGTCAAGCCTGATTTTCCCTGGCGTTGTACACGACAAACCCTGCCAACAGCACCCAAGGGTGACCCTTCCCAGAAACTGACACTTCTGCCAGGACTGGGTCAGTACCTTTTAAAATGGAATGGCAGTCTCTGACCCTCAAATAATGCTTTACCAGTACCAGTTTTAATTTTTATCTCTCATTTGTGTTCTGTGTTTATAAATTTAATGAAATGTGGCTGCTCTTTTGATCATGCATTTCTACCACTATGCTATAATACCCATATCATCCTTAATATAGCTACACCATAGCTTGAGCACTTGTTTCACTTCTAAGAACAGGAAATTGGCAACATTATTCACACAAGAGACATGCGATCCAGCAAGGAATCAAAGACCCGTTAACTTAACACGGGTTTTGGGGTGAATAAGGGAAACAGTTTTGCAGGATTTGGTGAGGAACTCCTTGCAAAATGTAATTTAACTAGAGATAGCTGATCTAAATTTAGGAGGGGAATTTAACTTAAGTGATTTCGTAGGGATTCTTTTAAGCTATTCCTGTTATGGTAGACAGGGGTGTGTGGCAAATTTCATATACATGGAATTTAAAAAAGAAAAGTTCTCCCTCAAAGATTATTATTATTGGTTGAAATAAGGAGACATGCTCGCAAAAATAAAATGGATTTGGTAGGTTAAAATACTGTCTCTAAAAGCAGGAAATAGCATATGACTGTGAAACAAGTATCTCCAGTTGGAAGCTTTTTAACAGAAGTCTAGGAATGTAGAGAATGCTACTTTCTGACATTTTTCTAAATCGTGCACCCAGGAATTTGTTAAACAGCAAGTATGAATAATGCAAATGCCTTACTCAGTTCATTATATTACTTCTGAAGAGAAGCAGGTGGGAGGAGAAATTAAACACTTGCAGTGGGAAGTCTGCCAGAAAAAAGGCTTTAAATTTTATTCTTAATAGTAGAATGACTGTTATGCACATGTACCTACAGATCTTTTGGTTGCTTTGTGTTTTCCTGGCTTCCATTCCGCAATTCCTACCCACTGACACCTGCCCCTTCCCACTGCTTATAAAGAATGATCTGAACCTAAGGTTCAGTAACTTAAATTTCCAACTTTAACTCTTCTTTTGTAGAGTTCTTTTAAATTCTGTGTTAGAAAGCAACATCTTATCTCCTTTCTAGAAAATAGGCTCTGTTGGGTAACACTTTTTAATGAGAAAATAGCCCACTAAGTATTTGTGGGGGTTTAAAATGTTTTCTCTGTTAAATGGAGGTCTTTTCCAACCTTAACGATTCTATGATTCTATGGGCAATGTGGAAAACACAGCTTTGTCAGTCTTAGGAATACATACGTTTTATCAACACTGAGCTGGAGATCTTGACCAATATATACTAGGATGATTGTAGTAGCGTCAGGACCTGAGCAGGACGGAAAAAGAGCCTCTCGTGCTGTCCTTTGAAAGCACACCTCCTCTGGGTGCAGCTGGGGATTTGCCCATTAATGCCGCATACCCACCAGGAGCACCTGCGTTAGCCACCAGGCTACAGCCACACATCTTCTTCTGGTCTTTCCTGCAGGCTCCAGAACTTGTGGCCCACACTCAAAAGGAGGTCAGACTGAACTGACACCCCTTCCACATTTCTACCCTCACTGGCAAGTAAAACCAAGTGTGTTTTTTGAAAAGCCTGACTCTGATGAGCATCTACTCTCAGAAGAGGATTCAGGGTGTGGATGGCTATCATCAAGACGGTAAGGACTTCAAACATAAGTCCGTACCCAGCTCCCTTTTTTATTTATGACAGGATTTTAGCTGAACTCTGTCTCAAGCACAAATAAAGTCATGAAGATTTTTTATTAATCTTATGAATAATAATAATGATGATAATAATAATGATGTCATTCAACTTGCCTTGGATATTTTCTATATTGTCACAGGTAAAAATGCTCTCTCTCAAATATTGCACAAAGTAGCTAAGAGAAAAGAACAGATGGGGGAATGCCTTCCCAGCCCTATAATGGAAACATGCTGTGTTTTCAAGATGTTATAGGTACAATCAGTTGCCAAACATAAGGAATGGGAAAGGATTTTTTCCTGCAGGCATATTTTTTTTCACCTTTCTCTTTGAGAGTTGTCTTCAGGTTAATAAGAGAATGATTTCAAACTTTTGTGTGAGTTTGTTATGTTTTTATAATGAATAGCTATTGCAGATGAAATTCAGAAAACATGCACCTTCAGCAATTAATAATCAATTTACCATTATTGCTGGTGAGACTCTACTGCTCTGTGGAAAGAAAAGAAGACATTTTGGTATTAACACTTGTCCTGTGTATCCTTGCTCTCCCTCATGGGTGGAGCTCAAAAAGAGCCAGAGATGACTTGAATCCTGGGTAGCACAGCAATAGGGCACTTTTCTGAATTATTTGGCATAAATGTTATCACCAGAGTAGATTACAAGGACTGCCTCATAGAAAGGGAAGAGTGGGGTGGATGGCTGGGGGAATCCAGAAGTCAGACCCTCTCATAGGATTTAAAGCTAATTGTGATCTTGAATCCTGAAATGTGTGTCAATAGTACTGCTTAACTCTCCTGTATGTTCCTGTAAGTGTCAGCGCACACCTATTATCAAGTCCTCCTGGGAATATCCACAGCATCTGTATTTCTGTTCAACATAATTAGAATGAATTTTATTTCATCTGACAGCTAAGTATTAGTGCTGAGCTTCATGAAAAAGCTACCTGTCCAGCTTAAGGGAAGAACAGAACAGAATGACTGGGGCTGGAAGGCACTTAGCTTGGGTTGCAGCCAGCAACAGCAAGGATCCAAAACAGCCAGACTTAGGAATTTTGGTCATGTTTTGGATATTGGATTATATGAATGAGTCTAAACTAATCCCTGGTAATAGCAAGAAAAGAGCTGTAAAGCTCTAGCATGTTGACTGTTCATTTTAGAAAACTTCAAGGTTTAAATAGATCAGTTAGTGCTTTGCAAAATCTAATAGTGGACAGTATATTATGTAGGATAAATAGTTTCTGCCTACAGACTAAACCCAGCATGTTACAGTCAGTCTTATTTTTTCTACATAAAGGAATAATTTAAGAAGGTAACGATAAACTATTTAAAAAGGGAAAACAAGGTACAGGTGTCCCAATTCTTGAGAGACTCCTCTCTAGCATTTATGATCAGGCCTGGCCAGTTTGGAGGTCATCTTTTTCTTTCTCCCTTTCCTTTGACTGGAGACATAAGCTTTTTATAACACTAACCAGCACAGTCACAGAACTTTTATTATTTATAGTCCATTGCAAAGGCCTTTAAAACGACACCTGTATTTCTACATACATTGGAGATAACAGGGACAGACTATTTTATGTCACTGATTACAGTCGTGGTCTGCCTGTGTTCACACTGCCTGTGTTCACACTGCCTGTGTTCACACTACATAGCAGCTGTCTTTGAATTGCAACTGCGGGCCTCAGAACAAAAATTGCTCTTCATGTTCTTCTTTGGTTTTATTTCAAATTGTCTATAATAAGGTGAGTGCTATATTGCAGCCCACTAGCAGTATCTTTTTTTTTTTTTTTTTTTTAAACAATGAAACTGTGACTCTACTGTAGCAAGTCAAAACTGTCCAAGACCATTCTCTGGCACTATCTGGCATTGAATGTCCTCCATGAATGCTATGCAATTCTCTCAGACTCTAAAACCAGAAGTCTACAGCTGAATTGCCTATTGTGAATGGTACCTCAGTTGCACGGGTGTCCTAAGGACATTTCAGGAACTGTTTGGAGACACAAGGGTTATCCAGACTATAACAGTAAAGAAAATTCTGAAAATCCATCCATATGAAATCTGGCATTTTGGCACCCAGGAATATTCCCCCGAGAGTCTTTAGTAAGACAGGCACAGCTCGCGGGTTTGTCTTGTATGGATGTAGAGAGATACGTGTGAGAGGTTGAGGGTGTAGAGTCTGCTGGGAGAGTGTTAAAAGTATACAGGGAGCCAAGCTTGACAGAGTCTTGTCCATACTGCATATTTAGCATTTGTTTACCACACCACAGCATTTGTTATACTCAGAACTGTGACAGGACATTGTCTCAGAGAGTGCCAGCTGGCAGTCATCACAGACAAAGCACTGAAAGTGTTAAACGTTTAAGCAGGATGGCCAATCACGCTAGCTTGACCTCCAGGCTCTGTTCTGTTCTGCATTCAAGCAGCTTTGAAGCATCAGCATAGCAGTGTTTTGGTCGCACAACACTATCTCAATTCCCTTCATCAGTATGCCTTGCTGAGCAAAGGAATCTGGATGGCTATTTGAACATTTTATGTCTTTTTTATTTTGCTTTACCTCAGACAGCCAGCCACACTATGTGTAAGAATACAGGAAGGCCCACAAACTTAGTCAGAGGAGCCATAAAACAGGGAGGTGAGATGGGGTTAGTCTGAGTCAGTAGCTCTAAAAGACAGCAAATTTTATTTTCCTTAAACTTACGGTGTGAATTTTTGGTGCATTATTTGAGACTACATGACTGCTTAAGGTAACTGTACTCTCTGGGGGAAAATGACATAGGAGATTAAGGTGTGATATTAAACTACCAAGAAACCACAATCAGACAGGGAAAGTCAGCCTTTCAGAAAAAGTGGGTCATCAAAGCAAATCCTCTCTCTTTGCAAGTCTTCTATGACCACTGCTATGGGTACATTTTGCTAGTTCAGCCTCTTTCTTCTCTATGGACTAGAACCTGAAACCTGAAAGTATATGTGCTGTGTTTACAGCCCAAATAATAATAAAAAATGCTTTTGTTTGCACATGAAAACAGAGAGGGTAATTTATAAAGTTTATGTTTGATATATACTGATCACTGGATGGTAAAGCTTAGCCTGAGATCTGTAGTTTCCATCCAAATATGATTGTACAACTTCTCTGGAAACACATTGTCCTGGTTTTGGCTGGGACAGAGTTAACTTTCCTCATAGTAGATTGTAACAGGCTGTGTTTTGGATTTGTGCTGAGAAGAAGGCTGATAACGCACTGGTGTTTGTAGTTGCTGCCAGGACAGTCAAGGACTTTTAAGCCTCTCTGCTCTGCCAGTGTCTGCAGGGGCAGGAGAAGCTGGGAGGGAGCACAGTCCCAGTTACTAGCCTGGGATTGGAGCTTAGGTTTAGGATTGGGACCCAATTGGCCAATGGTCTATTCCATATCATGCACATCATGCCCAGTATATAGATGAGACTGTGTCCAGAAGTTCTTTCTCTCTCTCTCTCTCTCTGGGTGTCCCCTCTCTCAGGGTCATCTCATTCTCTTGGTTGGCTCTCTGTCTCTTGGATGCTCAGGCTTTTATCTTTTCCAGGATTGCAGTTTCAGGACTCTCCCTGCTCCAGGATTGTTAGCCGGGAATGGGCTGAGCTTTGGTCATTGGGTTGTGAGCAGTTGCATTGTGTATCACTCAGTTGTGTATCAGTTGTGTATCTGTATATTTGTATATATTACTATTATCATTATTATTATCATTATTATTATTTTCAGTTTTGTTGTAGTTTAGTTATTAAATTGTTCTTATCTCAACACATGAGTCTCTTTTCCCTTTACCCCTTTAATTCTCTCCCTCAGCCCAGGAAGGGGGAGGGTGAGCGAGTGGCTATATCATGTTTTGCTGCTAGCCAAGTGTGTCAAACCACAACACACGTATAATGAATTATGCCAAACTACTAACACGCATGAGCAGACAACCTATGCAAAATCCCCAAATCCATAAATTATTAACATCCCTTTGACAACTAACTGCTGTATTGCTTCTGGTAGAGAGTAGAGAAAAAAGCTTCAAATAAACAAAACTCTAAGAAACTTAATCATATTGACTAAGGTACAACGAAATGATCATTAACTAACACAACCAAAACTTCTCATTAAATGGGGTCTAAGTCTGAAATTGCAGATATTCAACGTGAAAAACTTGATTTTTTATATAGAATGTGATCCATAATCTTTGACAACTGCAGCACTTCATCATTCAAAATTTGACACATTCATAATCACTATCTGGATGAACTCATATGCCAGTAAATTAGCATTGAAGAAAGAGAGATAGAACAAATGACTGAGAATCTCTTGAACAAAGCAACCTTCTGCAACAACGTGGCCTGCCCTACAGAAGTGCCATGCTTTTTCAATAGGTAGATAGCCAGAAAAAGAAAAAAAAAAAAAGGATGGAAATGAAGAAGCAGAGAATTTAAAAACTGAAACCATGATGGTTAATACTGAGTTTGATCTCAGAATATTTTACAAACAAGTTGCACCAAAGTAGTTTTAGTGAATTGCTCATCATGTTCTGTACAGTACCAATTGAACAACCCTATGACATCTACTATGTCAGAAGGCTAAAATATGCTAAAATGAACACTTCACATTTACTTTTAGGAAAATACTTTTAATAATCAGGAAGAATTCAGTAAAACTTACTTCAAAGTCAAGGTCCGAATAACGTGATTTTCTTCTCTATTAAGCAGTAAAAAGGAAAGAAAAAAGAGGTTGTATTAACAAGGGGACTATTCATCAAATCATGTTAATGAGTCTAAATACCAGTCTTGTTTTCCTATCAGATATATATTAGGTATTCTGTGAGAGGCTGTAGATTTATCTTGATAATTTAAGATTAATGCATGACTGCATACAGCTTTTTAGATCGGTATCATATTCTTTTCTCTGAAATACACCAGCCTGCATTTCACCGGATGCATAATATGCATGTTATTTGCATGCAATTGAACCTGTTGGTGTAAAAAATATAGCTATTTCTATACTTTCTGTGGTATTTGCAAATTATCATCATATGTATATTTTTTACACAGCTGTCTATGTATATCTATGATTTAGATTTGTATAGGTATACAGAAATAGATTCTTTCCTACATCAGGCTTACATTGGTACAACTCCATTGATTTTAATGGAATAAGTGATAGCAAAATCAAGCTGAAGCTGTCTATACTTTCCATAGCTTCAGCTTGTTTGTTTGCAGTGACAATCTGGATGGAGAAAGCAATGATTTTGTTTTACACTTATGACAAATCTGATTCAAAGCATCTGATACAAAGCAAGAATGATTCACTAGTGAAGTAATCACTTGTATACACTGCAACAGAGTATGATTTCTTAGACATATCACAAATAACTTAGCATTGAATTTTTTTCAGATTCTAAAAGAAACAAATTATAAAGTCAAATTATATCAGAAAGAAGCAGAAATATTATAAAGAAGAGATAAAAATATTTTTTTCTCCTAAGGTTGGAAACTGAATAGCTTGCAATAGACTAAAGGGATGCAGAAACAACGGTTGGAAGAGCTGAGAAAAAGAGTGCAAAGAACATGCGAATGGAAAGAAAAGATACAATCTCCTTGAGGAAAGAGAGTTAAAGGATGGCAAAAGTACTCCAAGAAAAGAAAAAGGCTTGCTGCTACTGTTTAACCCTAATTTTTGTGGTAGGATAGGGTGGCTTAAAGTAATGGTGAATGAACCTTTTCAAATTGCACATAATTTCTGCAGTGAGATACAAATCAAACCCATTAAGTCAAAATGAATAATGTTACTGACTTCATTAGACTTTGATTTTATTTGGTTTAACAAACATGCAGGTTTTAGTAATCTGTTCTGTTTTCTTGCAATTGAAAGAAATAGTTTTACAAGTCTTTCAGTTGTAGAAAGCAGAACATGTTTAGTCTCTGAGCCCTTGATAATATCACTTTGTGACATATTGTCTGGTTTTGTAGTAAAATTTTGATGCTCCAATCTACGATAATATGAAGATCACCATAGCACTGTTGGCACACTCTGATGCCTAAAGAGCTGGGTGGCAGTATAAAAGAACAGTCTACAAAAAAATGAAACCAAACAGTAACAACAAGCTTTGGAGAAGCTATCTTTAATCAGCAAGGCTTGATTTGACCTAGCACACTTTAAAGACAGTATTTAAAAATAAACAATTCTGCAAAAATAAGTAGCATGAAAACATGGAAAAAAACAAAGGTCTTGGAGATAAAAATATGAGGACATTACTCCCAAATTCTTTAGGTAGCTAAGTTCTGATTTCTCACTCATATTAAAAGCGCCATGGTACTACTGTGCCTTTGACAGGGGCCTTCATCATCCCCCAGTAAACTAGCACCTGAAGAAATCTATGTATCTCTAATGAGGAAGGATCTCTTTTTAAGGTGTAATTAGGGCTCATCTACCACTGTAAAGGCTCAGTGGTTACAAAAGACAAAACTCCTACAGCAGATAATGATTTGAAGTTTACAGGAGCAGCTTTGCAAAATGCTTGAAAGGGCTACTTTTGAGCTCCAGTTCCATAACAAACCTGATATTATTGAACTGTCCGACTGACAAACCTAAGTGAAAATATGGAAAATTTAGGAAGAAATGTGTAATTTGCTAGATATGATGATTTATAAAATTGGAGCCTTAAGTCTCCCTGTCCACAGTGCAAATGTTCCTGGCATGGCTGGATTGCTGGGTTCTGCAGCCAGAGAAGTCTATCACTGTTTACGTGGTAAAAAGACATATCTAACAGACTGCAACATTCTGAACTGGGCTATTGTCAGAAAGAGGTAACTACTGCAATTTTGCTGTTAGATCACACCAGTTATGACTAAACAGGTCATACCACAGGTTTATCTCAGTGAGGATTTTTCTAGGGCTCAATATAATGATGGAATAGTTTCTCTTTGATCCCAATTGTAAGTTGTCATTTGTAATAAATTCTTCTCCTAGTTTCTGCATGATATAGAACAAGCCTAAACCATGCAGATCATCACTTTAATTGTGATTGTAGATATACATCTTTTCTTAAATGAGGTTTATATGTTAAGTCTTTTTTGACTGAGAAAAATGGGGTTTTGCACACATATCTAAATGCTTTCACAAATCAACCGTCTGGCTCACTCTACAATTCAAGTTAACAAAAGCCATCAGCTGAGTGAAGTGGAATATGGGGGGCAAAAAAAATCTTTTGCATCAAACGAGCTGCTGAACTGGTCACACCGGTATGTTTCTTTTCAAAAAGCTGTTCCTTTTACCCACCTGTAAAACTGAGAATGATTTTAGCCAACATAAAAATTAGAGTGGAAGCTGGTGTTCTTTTCAAGAATAAGTTGGAGATCTGTTTGAGTATTAATGTTATCAGTATATCAACAGTAAATGACTGTAAAGGCTAATACATACGGTTTGCCTTAGTGTTTTGTACTTAAGCGGATTCTGTTGTGATGCTTCAGGAATGACACAGAGAAGGGCAAGTATAAAGTGATATTTCTGCTGCAATACTCTCCCCTGTTCTTCAATAGTTTAGGAATTTCCTCGGGAGGAGCTTACACTGTTGAACTTGATAACACTTTTTTACATTATTCTATTAGTCGAATAATGTTTAATAATTATTCCTAATTTTGACATCCAAAATGTGCCAAGGCAGTGAATTCTACAGTTTAAATACGTACACCGTGACAAAGGAAATAATGTTGTTTATCCCTTTGCCATTTCATTTTATGCTCCTGGTTTTTATATTATGGGAAATATGAATAATTGTTCCCCGGTCACTAATGAGTCATCTGTTTTCCAAGCTGAAGAGCCCTAATCCTCAAGACCTGCAAGGGTAACTTCAGCCTAAAAAGCTGAAGACACATGCAATTATTCAGCAGCAGGGAGTCAGCTGGGATAATTCTGGAAAAGCTGATGTGTATGGGTCAGTAGTGAACTGCAACCCACGCAAAATTAAAAATGCTACCAAAAAAAAAAAAAGGTCAAGTCTGCATTTAAGCAGGAAAGGGTGTGAATAGCTTATTCGGAACAACTCCAGTGAGTTGCATTGGTGCTCTACACTGAGAGAAGACAAATCATACCTGCAAACTGGGAAATTTCAGAGGAGAGCAGCAAAAAAGTACTTTTAAAGAGTTAATAACACAGGATCAAAGGGAAAGGATAAAAGTGATACAGCTTGTTTAAACTTCGGCTCTGAAAGAGGCAGACACAGAAGCTTGTTCAGAAACCTTGGAAGGATATAAACACTGATAAACAAAGCTGGTGTGAGAAAAATCTGAAAAGTTGTAATTCAGAAAAAAAAATGGAAAAAAAACAAAGGAAATTTCAGAGATGCTGCCAGAAATAGAGTTTATGTAACTATGAAATAATCTTCTAAGGGAAACAGTGGAAGCCTTTCACTTGAAAATGAAGTTTGAATATGTATAAAAGAAATGCACTGTAGAAAATGTTCTTGCATTGATAGAAGAGATGACCTGGCAAGCTTTTTCCATCTCTGATTTCTACAGCTCTTTGATCTTAACTGATAAAATCCATTTTGCAGCATCCCCCTCCCCCTTCACGCCAGGACCAAAGTGAAACTCTGTGAAAAGAGATCTGCAGCCGTAATTTATTTTAAATCAATTTTACTTTGTGCTAATCATGTACAGCTTCTCTGTGTAATTCCAGAGCAACTTTAAACTCTGCTCATAGAGGGACAAAAATAGAATACTGAAGAATAATTTCCATACACCAGCATGCACTAATCCGCTGGCACCAGGAAAGAGCTGCTCTCACTAAACGACTAATAAAATCCCTCTCCATCTCTGTAAAATGACAAATGCCTGGTTTTCTCCTTTTTCTAGTCTGCATTACACCACTACCTGATTAATTACATGAGGTACTCCTGAAGATATATTGCATTATGTGAAGTATAATTGAAACCAGAGATACCATATTATAGCGAGGGCTATAACCATGCTTCCATTAATATAAAGCCTTATTATCAGCAGTTTGTAATTCACTCTGAGATTAGATTTGACATACAAGATCTTAGCCTGGGGAGGATATTTTCTCTGAACAAAATTAAAGGAAAATCTATTTTGGCTCTCAGAGATATAAAAGTGGAATGTGGATAGACAGTTTTGATTTCAAATGCCTTTTGTGTGTATATAACTGAAAAAACCCCTTAGTTTCCGAATAGAAGATTATGTTGGCTATGATTTCATAACACAAGCTAGACATAAATCGAGTAAATTTTCATTAAAAAGTGGATTATCTCTTTAATGTGGGAATTTTAAGTCTTTAAAATGTTCTAGCAATTTTAGCACATCAACATGAACACACAGCACAAACACAACTTCAGAGATCTTCATTTAATACCATTCTGCTAAATTTATTCTGGTTTGCTGATCCCTTTTTTTTTTTTTTTTTTTTTTTTTTTTTTTTAATAGGGTAACCTGCATATATTTTTACTCAATCAATCAAAACCACTTGTTTTGTGATTCTGTAAGGCTCTGGGGGGAAATGCAGCATCTCTTAAATGGACAAGCAATTGCAAATATGTTTCTTAAGAATCATATGTAGTTAAGGTAGCTGCTTATAACATAAAGTCTGAAATATATGTTACATTTCATAATACTAAAATCTTGGTTCTTTATGTCTCCAGTTACCAGAATCAGCTCTGCCTGATTCTATCCCCACCTCTGTAT